GTGTGTGTGTGTGTGCGTTCCCTCACCCAGGATCATGGAGACAGTCTTCATCAGGTTGAACACCGTATCTTTGTGTCTTATCTGGGACGTGTGCCGTGACATCTGCTCGCTCTTGTGCCTGACATACAAAAAGATGCGGGTGTAGACTGCCACCATGATGGAGAAGGTCATGAGATTGAGGACGCCCCAGAACACCAGGTAACTGCGGCTGTACAGCGGCGCCATGGTGGAGCACTCGTCCAGGTCGCAGAGACAGTGCCAGCCCATGGTGGGGATGAGGCCCATGATTATCGCCACCAGCCAGATGAACACAATGATGATGAAGACCCGCCGCTTGCTCATCTTACTGTGCAGCTGCATGTTGAAGATGGTTTGGTGACGCTCCACGGCCACGGCCAGCAGGTTGAGGACCGAGGCCGTCAGACTGGTGTCGATCAGCCCCTGTCGCACAAACCACTGGTGCTTAGACAGTTTGATGGTCCAGGGGCCAGTGTGAAACATCAGGTGGAAGTAGGAGATACCTGCGAGGAGAAGAGTGACGACACCTTACAGAGAAATCTTACACAGAGCGACAAGGCATTGCAACACAAACCTTTTCACATTTTTTTAATGCAACTCTTTAAATAACAACTGACTGGCTAACTGAAGTTTTATGTGAGACTGGCCCATTTTCTGGATAAACTAATCACGACTGCAAGGTGTTAAGAGCCAGATCATTTCTCAGCTTGCCAGACAGATTGTTCCTCTTTTCTATGATAACATTGTTTGGTGTTTGCTGTTTTTTTGGTTTGGAACAGGCAGCTGGGTTTTGTTTGCATTTTTGATTTAACTTAAATAAATGTAACTCCGTTTTTCTTTGTTCAATGTATTTGTTTGATTTAAACAGCACCCGCTCGCCCCGTTTCCTCTTTTAACCTCCTCACAATAAATATCTTTATCTCAAGCAACATCTGGTTTTACGTTGCTTCACTTACAGTCTGCATATTAAGAGAAATATATAAATAAACATGACATTCAGCTCACAACAAAGTCCATGGCTGAAGAAAAAGTACTTCAGAGTGCATTTTGGTTATTACAGCATATACTTAGACTGTATAGGAAATCATATACATGGTGCAGGTTATGAATATAATGTTTCAGCTAACTCTCAGTATTAGAGGTGTGTTTCCTCTAAACAGGACTACCCTTCACTTACACACAACACGCAAGTGGAATGTGATGTGACTCAAAACACTCATTCCCACTGTTTTCTAAACCCACATATCTGCAGCAGCGTGACATGCGTCATTTCAGATTTACTAGCATTACTACATCGGAAAATTATGATATTTCAAAGCCTCTACACTCAAAAACGTCTGTATGTAAAGTACATATACCACAGAGATGTTCCTACCAGCTCCTGATGAATTATATCTATCTTACCTGAGTCATAGAGACACTATAACATTCATGTTTGCTGTCCTGTGGCTGTAAAACATAATTTTATTGCACTTTAGTTTAAGAGTGCGCTTAACACTGAACACCTTCATTATGAATCTATTATAAAAAGCCCTGGGGCCTGATTTAAAAAGCAGACTTGCTGTAAAAGATTACAGATCTATAGAATCAGACAAAAACAAAGTAAGCAACACATTAAGATGCATTTTTCATTAGTAGAACATGTACAAGAAAACAATTCTAGATGTTTCATGTGTTAAAAGATGCAACTCTGCAGTTAATAACAACTATAATGATATCCACATGTGTTGTTGGTACCCATGTGTTTTGTGTTATTTTTTTCTTTTTTCTTTTACACGTCAATCTCAGCTTTGTCTTTGCTGAGGCTCAGAGTTGACCTCGAGCATCGTGTAAAGAGATAATTTGGACGCGAAGCTGCAGAAATGATTCTTCAAATCTCCAGTAAAACACACTTTTAGATGTGGGTGAATTGTTTTGATGCTTGATTGGGTTTAAAAGTTTTGAGTTTACAAAGGTTGTGAAATACAAACATAAAAAAGCAGATCAATGTGAACACACCCACAAGTGCCTCTGTCAGTGTTGTGTTTTCTGACTGAACTATGGCACTAAAACTAGATGTTAAATATAACATGTTAAAATGCAGTTTAAATAGAACCCTCAGTTATAATAATAACATAGCAGCACATCAAGTAAAAGGACTTTACCTGAGAAGAGGTCCGACAAAGCCAGATTTCCCAACAGGTAGTAGATGGGAAAGTGAAAGCGTCTGTTTTTTAAAATGGCCCCGATGACCAAAAGGTTGGAAAAGATCACAATGAGGCAGACCGTCATTCCCATGGTGACGATCACATAGTCACGTGTGCGCCAGGTAGCGCTGATGTTCTTGCCGCTCTTCTCATAGAAAAACTTAACGCTTTGGTTCAAGTAGCATCCCTCTTTGTCGTCGGTCATTGAATCCATGTTGAAATATAGGATGGACGGGCGATCAGAGAGGAGATGGGGCGGAGGAGGAGGAGAGCAGCGTTGCAGATGGTGAGCAGTGGCGAAGGACTAGAGCGCCATTCAGACTCGCCCTCTCAGGTGAATTGGTGATCGGCATGCCATCAGCTGGACGGGTGAAGACTGGAGGGATCCAGTTTGAAGTCGGAGGCGCTGGATTCACGTATTAATTCTGTGAATGGAATGAATGTTTATATTAATACTACAAACTTTAAGCATGAGTCCACAGTAAATACATGCGATACTTCCACCCCTCTCTACGAACCCAGACACAGGCCTCACAGCTGACAAGTAAACACGAGGTCTTTGTTGTATTTTACGTACATGAATAAAAACTCCTCACTCAAGCAGAATATATCGACATTACAAGGCTGAGTGGTTCAAGAATTATATTCTCCACCAACCAGAAAATCTTGATTAGCAGCAACAGCAGCTATTTCCATGAAATTATTGTCACCAAGCTCAACGGCCAATATCGACAGGTCCCAGCAAGTCATGACATGGACACGCGAGGCTTGATGAGGGACGCCATCATTAAAAATCAACCATGTCTCAGACCAGAACTCAGACTTCACCTCACGACACGCATTCTGACTGTTGCCAACAACAACAAGCCTCAATCCTCTATTTACAGTCAACATGTACAGGCCACATGGTGCGTTTTGAGTCAACAACACTCCTCGTACTTTCTCCATTTTTTCTTGCGAACGCCAGCGCAGCACGACCACACGTACAGAACCGGGGACGAGTTCGACTCTCAACAATGGAAACAGCAGAGCAGCTCCCTACAGCAGAGACACACCTCACAATTACACAGTCAGCTATGTAACTCAATCTCAATCCAAACATGCACACTACACACACACACACGCACAGGGAGGGAACCTCAGTGACCAACTCTCTACCAAGGGTGTGTGAAGAGAAATCAAAAACAGAAGAATTTGGAGACTTGGGACATTGAGAGACTGAAGTATGAGATTTGCAGGACAAGGATTTGATTAAGCCAACAATGAAAACAGTTGAGGAAAGAGGAGAAAAACGTGTAGAGAAAGAATGAGTACACAGCAAAATAGAATAAGTCTAACTGAGCGTGTGTTATGTGGGAGAATGTTACACTGACAGGTTCTCATCCATGTGGTCGCAGAGAAGGAGGCAGAGGTACGATCTGTCAACTTTTTTTCTCTTGAACGCAAGAGCAAATGTTTCCTCGTCATGACAAGTGGAATCTGCTGATAGCTTTGATCTTGTGTTGTGGGTGATAACCACATTTTAGCAGACTGTTATTATGATTGAGCTGCTTTACACACTCAACGCTGCAAATCCTAAAAACACGAACCCTTCCTGTGATGAGGCTGGTTGCAGCTTTCCTTTCTGAAACTGTAAAAGTGACCTGCGGTAATTGAGCACCTGCAAATAAAGACCTGCTGCAGAACTAGAAAGGAGTTTCGGTTGCCGTTGTCATGGATGCGCTGTTGCGGTGATCGACAAAGTCACTTGCGTTGATGAGTTCCTGCTGCAGCAGTTACAGAGCGATGGTCACCTCTTTATACAAACTTTATTAGACATGAACACAGTGTTTCACATGAATTATTAGACTGTGGTGGCCCACCACATTTTAATTTATCCAACAGTTTCATAATAAACCAGAATTTTTTGTTCTTCTCATAACAAAAATATGAGATTCCTAACTTAGACCACAGCTGTAAGTCGTGCTGTCTATCGCACAAAGTCAGACCTCATAACTTCCGCTGCAGACGCTGCAAACAATGCAATTCTTTCCACCTGGTAGTTTATCCATCACACTTCAGCTGTATACCCGTCACTCAGAGCAAGAGTGACGTTCAGTGCATGTACACCTGTTACCGCCACTGACTGAATTGATTCTATGGGAAACCACGTGTTAAGTAATAAGCCGATAAGATCAACCAGTTCATAAGAAATGCGTTCCACATACAGACAGACAGAGGTTTCTAGATATCAGGAACTCACTGACAATTGAAAAAACATAAAAAGAGAAGTTAAAGAAAGAGAAAACAATGCTGGATCTGACCTTTTGTCCAGATACACAACAATATTTTATGGATTCTTTCTTCACTTTTCACAAAAATTCATTCAGTCGTTTTTGCGTAATCCTGCTGACAAAGAAAACACAGGTGGTGATAACAACAAATGTTGAGCTGCTTGGCAACCTTGTGAAAAAATGTTGCCTCACTCTACAATGACAATAGTTCTATGGACTCACATGTCAGTTCACCACACAAGTAAAGCAGCCGAGACAAAAGTCAAGAGTACAACCTCGACCGGACGCCTCCGTCTTTCACTACTCGTATCCTCAGGAGTCTTGCCAGAAGCTTGTAGAGCGGCTGTCACTGATAAGGAAACGTGACCCGGTGGTATGACGCCGTACGGCAAAACATGGTCTATAGAGAAGGAATCCACACACTGAGTTCACTGAGGTGGTTCCAGGTTCTTAAGTCCTGAATTTGCATGACTGTGTGTTTTAACACATCACGTGTCTCGTGTTTGTGTGTGAATGAACTGGACTGAATCAGTAAACACCAGTTTGAATACAAACCGGTCATTACCAGAGCAGCCACACCCGAGGCTTCTCCCCCTGCTCCTCCTCTGACTTTCTGTCAGCACATCAACTTCACTTTGTTTGGAATAAGAAAGATTTACTTCTCACGCACGCACGCACGCACGCACGCACGCACGCAC